CTAATCATCAAATTAACAATAAAATAAGCCATTGTCTAATGAAATGTTTACTTCCAAATTCCTAGTGGTGATGCAAAACTGAAGACAACCCAGACAATGTAAAGCCCAAGGAAGCATATTATAAAGTTTATGGCAGGGCGGAAACTGGCCGGGACAGTATAGTAAGATTTTAGGGCCATCTAAAATTATTGCTTAGATAATAAACCTTGTTTTACAAGTGAGTTAAATCAAATTCGCTTGGAGAATAATAATATGTGTGGTATTTAGGAACATACCGATACAACCTTTTCTGCATCAGATATACCTTCTGCAATATCGTCTAAATAGACACCACCAATACCTTTCACGTCATTTCTCTTCAGAAGATGATATAACTCTTGACGGTTTCTGGCATCGTATTTAGGCTTAAAGGCAAATTTCTTTTCGGGAAATGCCTTGATTTTTGGATTATTAGGCAGTGCCTATGTATATATATGCGAAATTATAATTTGAGCAAACTTCATCTTCAAGCCATTTCATAGTGTGATGAGATATATCTTGTAGCATTGCTTCCTCGAGAATTTCGTCGACAGAAAGAGGGTGCAAATCATGTTCTAAGTGTCTTTGCTTAAATAGTAGGTAAATAACTTGATTTACTTTCATATACTTTACTATTCGTGAGAGGATGGCAAATCGACCCTGGTTAATTGGTCTAGATTCCAAGGCCCTATAATCTAAGGAAGAAGTAGCAGAACGACGAGGAGCATGAGGCTCTGAAGTAGCAAGAGAAGGCTTCGGGGCATCTATGGTTGGGATGAGCTTAGCCCGCCTAAGGAACGCCTCGCGCTCACGGACGAGGGCCGGGTCCATGGTCAAAAGGAACCAAAATACGCGGTGAAAATGCGCTAATAATAGTAAATAACTTGCCATATAAACTCATAAACATAGTTCACCTTAAAACTTAAAATAAATTTTATCTTATTTTTTGATAAGACAAATCGATTCTTTTTATTGCTATTTTTCGTGTGTCGCCTTTCCCCCGGAGGGGTCTTTTCCTATCGTCCACACCATGGCCCCTCTTCTTCCACCTAAAGGTTTGCCTCGTTATTTTGCCATTTTTAGTTAATCTCGCTATACATGTTGGCCTTACTTTGGCTTGGCCGATAGCTGCTCCATTTGCGATTAAACGAGCTGTTCATCACGCCCAGCATAGCGAACCCCGGCGATATCCGCGGACGCTCCCGGTATGATCGATGTCATTATTTTACCAAATTTAGCAACCTCTTCCTTGGGGAGATGGCAAAACGGCTTGTTTTGATCACCATGCGGGACAAGTAAAGAAATTCTTTGGATTCACCGGGAAATAAATCCTATTATTACATTTCCTAGAACCTTCTGCTAATTAGAGTTCGTCTTTCGTTGTATTTTATCCTTATCTATAAGAAATTATACTGAATTCTTTAGTTTTTTACTTACCTGTTCCTCAAATTTGTCGATCATTCAAAGTATGTACCTACTAATCAAGGAATATCTTTTATTTGCCTTTCTCTAAATGTTTCAGTTCACTTAAGAATAGGATTACTGAGATGATCAGAACCAACACTTTAATTAGGCTTTCGTCATCACGCTTATTGTCGCGAGCCTGTTTGCCGTCT